TCCTATTATCTGGTCTTCCGTAACACACAAAAACTGCCTTCTCGGGTGCAGAGGAAGTGCCAGGAAACCTGCAGGTGTGAGCCGGTTAAAAGAAAGGACTTGGGCTAAATAGATTCTTTGACTGTCAGGGATTAGAGTCATGGCACTAGTGGTAACACACATCTTTTCCTTTAATTTACAAAATTTTCTCACGAGTCTGCAAGAGTTCACCCCATCGGGGGCTTTCGGAGGCCATTGAAATGTCTTAAGTTTTAATTAAGTTGGAGTTGTCAGAAGAAAGCTTTTTTGGCACAGAGTCAGGGTCATTAATTACTGCTATCTTTGTTTCTTTCTGTAAAGGGAACTCCGCTGACTTGTACGATTACTTACCCAGCCTACATTTTCTACCCTGCAGTTCCCATTCACTTCCAAGGGGGACTTATTAAGCAGTTTACCAATTACTTCCATCAATTTTAGGTACAAAGCATTTACACAAACCTTAAAAAACATTTCTCATTTTTCTCATTAGTGGGTCGGGAAATCGTATTAATAACAGTATTAATTCATCTCCAAAGGCATCAAACAGCTGGATTCTTGCATGGCTTTTTGCATTTAAATATAAATATCCTCACATTTTTCACATCATTATCTATTCAACACACATTCTCACAGCCTGTGACTGCCTTTTAGGCAGTGCTAATCAATTTTTAAATAATTTACTTTACCCAGTAACACCTACTTCTAGCTGGAAACATCAGTTTTATCTAATATCTTTTCGATCAGGCAAATATTTTTATTGTTTCTAGGTAAAATCAGCTGCCACTATCACTGATGATAATTTGTAGATGTAAAAAAATACCAAAAGTCTTGGGTAATTTCTTAGTATGCTTCGTAGACCTCTAATATAAATCCATGGCTATTGGAACCAAGGACACAGACCGCTACAAATCCGTTAGAACTGTCTTGTAAAAAGTATTCAAACTTCTAAAATATTACACAAACCTGAATATGTGTTATATATGCCTAATTATGGATGTAAAAGTCAGGAAAATCATATTTCTCCTTTAAAAGTCAGGAATTTAAATTTTTAGTTTTATGGGAGAATGTACTATTTTGAAATAATTTGCTTTGAAGTATATCTCCCTTAACTGTGTACACATTTTGTATGCATTCCTTAGGTTATACATAATTTCTCTTTCTTCTATTTCATGGAAAAATAGCAAAAGCAAAAAAGTGTATTTAAGATGCAGAAACAAAAACGAAGTGGAATAATTGTCTCCCAAATCAGGAAACATAAAATAGAGTAAATATGAATCATGACAGATCTAGTTCTGTGTACCAGTGTGGCTAGAATGAGTCTTTGAACTTAATAACATCTATTTTTAATAGATGAATGAAATGGGCGGGAAAAGATTTACAAACCCAGGCAAATCGAATTACCAGAATCACCCATTTCTTCCCGATGAACATATGATACCACTTCAAAAACGTTTTTCTCTAGCAATCTCATAGTCATCTGCAGTGATTAACAATAACAAACGTGTCACCACCAAATAACGTGCCATTTGAGACAGAGGGCCCTGAATGTCATCACGGGCACTCGTCATTATGATGATAATGACTCACCATTATCTGATGATTCTCAGATGAGAAACTTCTGAGCCCGGAATTTGGGCTTGACTCTCATGCTTTCATTCATTCTGGTCCAAAAATGGGTCACTTTTGATGGGATAGGAAAATTCCTGGTTTGCCTGAATAGCGGATGCTGTCATGTCTCACAGATAAAACCATCATGTTTTGCCATTATACCCTTCCACTTATTGAACTTGAAATAAGCATCTGGAAAGGAGGGGTATAATTTTCCTCTAGTCCTCAATAAAAGTTCTAAATGCCATTTCCAATCCACAGTAAAAAAAATATATACATATATATATATATATATATATATATATATACACACACACACACATATACATATATATATACATACAAATTTTAAAGTATAGATGAAATAAATGAGATAGTCAAGCATAGCAACTCAGTTCACTTAAGAAAAGCCAAGCTTTCTAAAGAGTAGTGAAGTGATATCCGCAGACAATTTCCCAGCCAAATATTAAAGTAAAACTCATGTTCCAGGATCAAACAATGACAAGATTTGAAGGCTCCATTCTCCCACCCTTGGCTTAGGTGTCTTTCGTGTCACCCCAAAAGATACCAAGTGTATGATGACTAGGTTTTTTTCACTTCCAGACCACTTGTCAAAGTGCTAGAATAAAGCAAGCACTTGAGAACTGAATCATATGTACAGAGGTACATCCGCTTTTCCATCTTAAACTTAGAACTGACCCAACTTGCTAATGATGACTATACAAAAAATACATTATGCACTGATTTCTATAATAATTCTGTGACATTTTAAACCACTCAAGAACTCCATGAACCAATTCTGCTCATCCCTAGCTTATCTGAACTTGTGACTATATCTGACTGTAATTCTGAATATACTGTTTCTCCACCTGGA